GAACTTTGAAGAAAATTCTAAACCTCACAGGAAATCAGAGCCCTAGTGGACTCCTGGCTCTCTAGTTTCCGCAGAATGTGCGTAGTCTAGCTAGCTCACATGTGCCAGACAATCACAGGGAATAGACATGGTGAGCTGGTGCTCCTGTGTGCTGCTGAGAAGGTGAGTACTGCAGGAAAGAGGACAGGCCAGGGGTTGGAGGTGAGGTGGCATGCACAGGTTCACAGCGGTTGTCACTGGCACTCGCAACTGTCACTCCAGTCACTCGTCACCTCCTGCCCACACTGCACCATGGGAATATGTGAGAAGCACAATAAAGACAAAGGAAGTAATATTCCCAGTGCCAGTGTGTAGGGACTTGAGCAAGGAGCTCTCTATAAATATTAGATTAAAAAGACATGAGCAGCTTTTACCATTATAGACCGTAATAGAATTTGATCAGCTAAATCCCAGGGCTTTATAAAGCACAAATTATGTAAACAAGCTTAATGGCTTTTTGATAAAAGTACAAAGCCATTGGTATGAAGAATGCAAGAGGTGTTTTCTGTTTGGACTTTAAACCTCATGCACCAGAGCACAGATGCTTCTTACTCAAAAAAAAAAAAAATGTTTAGTATGGTGGCCAAGTAGATGATTCAGTGAGGAAAAAGCTTGTGCAAACCGGACAACCTATGTTCAGATCCCTAGAATCCATTAAAAGCCAAATCCAACAGCACAATCATCTGTAAGCCCAGTGTATTTCTCTAGATGCTTGTAGGCCAGGCAGCCTGGTTAATGCAATGGCAAAGAGACCCCGTCTCACAGAGGCTGATATACAACATTGATTAGAGGATAAAACCCAGAGAAAAACAGACGGATGAGTTCTTTTAGAAGGGATTTATTGAAAACATCACTCCTTCATGTCAACTCCACAGCACTTAAGGACCCTCTCTAACTTCTAAGGAATGTAGCACAATTGATGGCTTCTTCCACACATCTGTGCAGCATCTATAGATCACCCATTCCTTCCGGATATGCCATACTTCCAGAGTCCTAGCAGCTATTATTTGGCACACTTCTGTTATAGCATGATATCCATGGTGTACTTTACAGTGATTCAAAATTACTCTGAAGTCCTCCATAATTAAATCATTCTCTAGAATCTTGACCATTTCAGTCTCCACAAGGACATCCCACTTGTCCCACCAAATACTGTTAGATGTGGGCACACATGAACAGTCATATATGACATATAATCCTGCCTGTTTATCTGCTGTGACCCCTCCTGTCCTCTGCCTCTTAGCTCTTCTCTCAAGCTTACTAACCCACTAGGAGTTTAGTTCTTTGTAATGAAGCCCTTTCATGCTGTGGGGCATTGATTTGTGGAGCTCTTTTCTTTCCTCACCTTTTTAGTACCTTATCTTCCTTTTATTTCTTAAGGTTTGTGTAGCAGAAACAATTTCTCAAGACATGAAGTGATATATCTAGACTTTATAGGCTATCTCTGCCTGCCATCCCTGCCTTGTCTTTACAACATTTCCTGGATATTGAACAGCACAGGGAAACCTTCATGGTATTATGTTTGGTGATGGCAATCCCATCAAAATACCATATAGAACATGGTACTTCCAGAATGGTTGATGAGTAAAAAAGAGCTAAATGACCTTTTAAGGGTCATTCAGCATGCTAAAAAAACCTATAAGTCAAGATTCTACAAGCGTTCTTGGACACACCAATATTTATAACTACCAAGTGCAAAAAGTTGTACTGTTCTTACTGCTCAGACTGTACCCTGATCCTTGGGTTCCATCCTTATGATTCTCTATCAGGAAGATATGGGCAAGGTGGAATTTGTAGTTCTGATGCACATCATGCTTTAATGCCCAGCAATGCATCTTTTCCCCAAATTAAAGCAGTCCTTCACTTTGTGTAGGGGGTTGTAATCATGATGCTTTTGTTTTGCTGTTTCTCTTCCCAAATGCAGATGGAAACCAACAGAAGTGAAATCTCAGGCAACTTCATTGTGCCATAAAATTATCAGGAGAAAGCAGGTTCAAGATACATTAAGTTCTCACAAGCTGCGCTCACGTTCTAGTAAGATTAAAATGAAGTTCAACAAGAAAAGATTAGAGGGCACTGGCAAATCAGCCATCCAAACAATTATCTAAAAAAACGTTCTGTAAGCTGATCATCTCTGGGGCACACCAGAATTCTTGGTGTAGGAGGAAATTTAGGGGACACTAATTCTCTTTTATGGTCTTCTCTACAGGGTTTCCACACTGAGGTCATGTCCAGCCCTTGCCGTTCTCCCTTCCATTTTGCATCATGCCTTGCTTCATGGTATTTTGAAAAGTTCTCCCTGCCCCTGGTGATGTTTAAAGTTTTAAGTTTTAGTGGTAGAATCCTATTTTCACTTGAGATCTTATGAAATCTTTAGAGGTGGAGACATGACACTTGTTTGGAAATAAAAGACAGAACTCCATAATTGATTTTGAAACATAGATCTAAAAATAACTGGCTGGCTTCAGATAGATTTCAATTAGAATCTTTAGAACAATATGAACAAATTACTTAATTCTTTTTTATTATTAAGACATTTTTATTCACTCTACAAAGCAATCACAGATTCCCCTCTTCCTTCCTCCCACCCCTCCAGCCTTCCCCTCACCAACCCACCCCCCATTCCCTCCTACAAGAAGGTAAGGCCTCCCATGGGGAGTCAACAGAGCCTGGTGCATTCAGTAGAGGCAGGTACAAGTTTCTCCTCCTGCCTCAAGGCTGTGAAATGTGTCCCACCATGGATAGTGGGCTCTAAAAAGCTAGCTCATGCACCAAGGATGGATCCTGATCCTACTGCCAGGGGGCCCCATAAGCAGATCAAGTTACACAACTGTCTTGTTTATGCAGGGGGCCTAGTCCAAATGGGCTACAGAGATAAATAGAGACTTCTCACCAGAAGAATCTCAAATGACCAAAAGACATTTAAGGAATTGCTCAACATGCTTAGTGATCAGGGAAATGCAAATCAAAATGACTCTGAGATACTGTCTTACACCCGTCAGAATGGCTAAGATTAAAAACACTGAAGACAGCTTATGTTGGAGAGGATATGGAGCAAGGGGAACACTCGTCCACTGTTGGTGGGAGTGCAAACTTGAACAGCCACTTTGGAAATCAGTATGGTGGTTTCTCAGAAAATTGGGAAGCAATCTTCCTCAAGACCCAGCTATACCACTCTTGGGCATATACCCAAGGAATGCTCAATCATACCACAAGGACACTTGTTCAACTATGTTAATAGCAGCAGTATTCATAATAGACAGAGCCTGGAAACAACCTAGATGCCCCTCAACTGAAGAATGAATAAAGAAAATGTGGTGCATATACACAATGGAGTACTACTTAGCAGTAAAAAACAATGATATCATAAAATTTGCATTCAAATAAATAGAACTAGAAAATATTATCCTGAGTGAGATAACCCAGACTCCAAAAAACAAACAAACAAATATGGTATGTACTCAGTCATAAGTGGATACTAGATGTAAAGCAAAGGATAACCAGACTACAATTCACAGCTCCAGAGAAGCTAGTTAACAAGGAGGACAAAAAGAGGGATGCACAGATGGCCCTGAGAAGGGGAAAAAGATGAGATCTCCATGAGTAAACTGGGGATGAGGGGTGGGAAGTGGAGGGTAGGGGATGGGGGATGAGAACATACTTAATTATTGGAATTTCAAGAAATAAGAGTATCTTATGTAATTGGTTTCTCTTAGACCCAGTATGCAGAAAATTATCTGGGCATTCTATTACTTTATTTGTACAATAATGATGGTTGCAGGCAGTGGTAGATAAGAATATAAAAGTTTAGTGAATATAAAAGGAGTGTTAGTTAAGGTGCCTATGATTATACAGCTGGTGACCAATGGAGCCAGAACATAAAACCAGTTATTGTCAGAAAGAACTGATGGTACCTAACATGATGTTAGAGCTGTCACATGTTGCCATAAACATACCAAAATGTAGGGCATTATATTGCCATTATCCTTCAGTATCCTAAGTCTCAGAAGTTCACACTAAGTGTTGGTCATCTCTTGGAGCCAGTAATGGTGAATGGCTTAGAGACCTTTCTGGATTTTTGAAGTATAATATACTGCCAATGTCTGTTAGAATTTTCTCTCCCATATTAGAGAGTTGTGCATCATATGCCCCACTTTGGGAGTTTGCAAAAGTCTACAATCTCATTTTACTGGCCTGAAATTTAATATGGAATTGAAGAAAAATCAGAATCTCTTCCTAAATAAATTTCATGAAAGCTCTGTGTAATCTTTGCAATTGCCAGAGAGGGATCTGAGTAAACAAAGGATACCCTTCTATGGAGAACAGAGGAAGGTCAGCAGTGGCTGATAAACCTTCCCCAAATATAAGCCAGGGAAACTGGGCAGTGAATCATTTACTCAGCCTAGGACACTAAGTTAGGTGACTTTACATGCCACTTCTTTCTGTGAACTTAAACTTTGAGATTTTACTTTCTTGATTTTTCCTTAAAAATATTAACTATCAAAAATATTAACTATCCATTGTTTAACTCAAAGATAGACTATTTAAAAAATATTTATTTATTTTTATTTTATGTATATGAGTGTTTGCCTACATGTATGTGTATATACACAATATGTGTGCCTGTTACCTATGGAGGTTAGAATAGGCATCACCTGGAACTAGAATTAGAGACAGTTATAAGCTGTCATGTAGGTGCTGGGAACTGAACTCTGGTCCTCTGTAAGAGCAGCAAGTGCTCTTAACTGCTGAGCCATGTCTCTAGCTTCAAAGACAAACTTATAAGAAATTACTGTGTCAGAGTTTTCATAGCACATGTTTTGGCTAACAGGCCCAATAAGATTTAACTTCTTAGAAGGTGTGATGAGAATCTAGCATCAGAGCAACAAACCGTCCAAGGAGCTATTATACTCAACATACAGAAAAGCCATCTTTATGAAACATAAACGTGACACAGTTACCTGTCATGTTGCAATAAACCTTCAGAGGCCCCAGAGGTCCACTGCCATCAGGATCTATCCAGTAGTAATTTGATGTCTGGCCGAGGTGTTTATATGCTTCGCAGGAGGGCTCGTAGATGGCTGGAATGAAATATCCCACATGAGCATAGCACAAAACAAATATCTCCCCAGCTCAAAGCCCCAGTCACACACCCAGTGCTGGCGAGCTGCTGTATGGAACGGTTCTTCTTTTTAGAATGAACATTCCTTCTCTCTGAACTTAAATTCCCGACTTAGCATTTTCTCTATAAGCATTTCTAACCCCAAAAGCTACTTATATGACTTTATAGTTGGCAAAAAAGATAGACCTCATCAGTAAATTATTAAAAACACATGTAATATATGTTTTTATTGGAGCTCACGGCCCTTTAATTCATAGTCATTTGTAGCCATCATCTTCTTACTATAAGGTATTTTATTTTGAAAGATTGTGACTAATTGAACTATCAACTAAGATAAAGGAGATTTCTCTCTCAATTTTTGTATCACTAATGTAAATTTCCTATAAATCATATATGATTTATAATCTTCTTGTGCGTTGGGCAAAAGAAAAGCTTCTTTCCTGATTAAGTTTGTTACAGGTGCTTTAATACATCAAATCTAGATTGTATAAAAAGCTTGCATTTGCATAATTAAATTATAGGTTCTTTTCCATTGTTTGCCTTTTTCTTTACACATCTGTGATACATTTTCTTCTTCTTGAAAAGGTTGCACTTGTTTTCAGAAGTACAAAATGGACATTTACATATCTCCTTGGTTGTGTTACTCTCATAAAAGCTATTAAATAAAGTTTATTTCCTCCAGCAGTTTCAAACTGACATTCATGAGGACTGTGAATCATTTCCGAACAGAACAAGGAGACATTCTTGGTGAAGATCTGTTTACCTGGCACATCACCTGGACAGACTTCACAAAGTGCTCTTGCACAGTGCTCCTAGGATTTGCTGTGTGTTAAATTGGGAAATAGGGAATCTGCATCTTTCAACTTCTACCAAGTTTTTCTGCCCCTCTTCAGCTGCTTGTGGCACCTCTACCCAAGGATGAGAGATGTTCAGCTCTCTTTTGTTGTACCAATGTCACCACACTCAGTCAAATTCCTCTATAATTCTTTAATTGACTTGTCCCTTCTTCCCTCCATTCCTTCTTCAAAGAATGAAGGCAAAGAGTCTCTGCCATGTGTCACACTGTACACCTGTCTATGCAAATCTAGCTGGACACAACCCAGACTCAAGACCTTTGGATCAGGATTTGTTTGTTGATTATGTGGGTATTGCTCATGCTTCGAATGCTATTGGAAGAGGATGTGGCTAGAAAAGTAAGCAGAACCCAATAATCTTTGCCCCAGGGTAACCATTAATAGGTCCACTTTCAATCTCTTAAGTGTCTACACAATAAACTACATGTTTTCTCTAATTGTAGACACCATGCTAAGTAAAATGCTGTAATAGAAGGCCAGGAAAATGTTTTTTAAATGTTCAGTAGGAAGATGCTATAATTAGATGTAGGCTTCAAAATGAAAACTCCATGTAGTAAATGGTAGATTGTAGGGAACTATCAGGCTGTTGCTGCTTTTGGCTGGTTGAAAAATGACTGGTAGCTGAACTAAAGGAATGTGGCCAATGATAAAGTTGGCAGGACTGAGTGCAGCAGTTCTAAGGTCAAGATGACATGGAGGCCATTTGAATAGAAGTGAGTGGGAATAACTGCCACTGCAGGGTGATCTCAAATCACAATCTCTGAAAACAAACTAGGCGTGTTACTAATGACAGCATCTCCCCAGGTTAAAATTTTAAAAAACCTTAGTTTTGAAAATTTTACATATGTATACAATGGATTATCATATCTACGCTCCATTTATTCCAACAAACTCCTTTCATGTTTTCACCCAATACCCTTTTCCCAACTTCATGTATTCTTTTGTAACCCATTAAATCTAGTTACAGTTGTCCAAATACACATGGGTGTTGGGACTCTCACTGAAGCATGGAAAACCTTCCAGTGGCCATGTCCCCAATAAGAAATTATTCTATGGTGGGGCACCTTACACAGCCTTGATGTGAGGGGAGTGGCTTGGATCTGCCTCAACTGAATGTACCAGACTTTGCTGACATCCCATGGGAGGCCTTACCTTTTAGGAGGAGAGGGTGGGAGGTGGGTTTGAGGGGAATGGAGGAGGAATGAGGGGGTGTCTGTGGTTGGTATTTAAAATAAATACAAAATTTCTTAATAAGGAAAAAAATAAATAATTCTTCCCCAGAAATGACCCACACCAATAGTTTCCCAGGAGGGAGGTAGGACCTGGAAATCTTCTACCTCCTCTATGTGGGACATTTTCTGGCTTGATCTTGTGAAGGTATTATGCTGGGAACCATGGCTGCTGTATAATTGTGACTGTGCTTCCTGCTTGCTCACTCTGCTTCCTGTTTATAGTTGAAAGGTGACCTCTCAGCTTCCTTTCCCTGTCACCATGTCTTCTCCATTATTATGAACATAGAGACCTCTAGAAACACAAATACTTTGGGTCATGGTATTTTATCACAGCAATAAAAAGTGACTAATACAGGGTGGGCTGAGTCACCTGGAGGTAGGGAGTAGGTCATAGATATGACTGAGATAGCATTGTATACATGCATACAATTTTTTAAAAGAATGAAAACGTGTGCTTTGCTTTCCTTGGTTGAATAGCACAGAGCAGTCAGGCTGGAGCTAATCTGGAAACTTCTTCCATACTGTCTAGCTTTCATAATATGGAAATTTTTACAGACAGTTGGCTGGAAAGCTAGCAGTGGTCCTTCTTGACTTTGGACCTTGCATACTGTAGTACCAACTTTCCAGACAGATGTGCCCACTGGCACAGTAGTGGTACAAGTATTGCAGGGATGAACAACTTCTTTCTGATTAGATCTGAGATCTTTTGTGAAAGACACTAAAGTATTATAGACCAGTCAAAGGCAATGTCTAGGTAGGCAATATGCCTTAGGAGTGAATCTACTAGTTTTGTTTTGCTAAATGGGCACACTGTCAATCTGCCTAATATTTTTGTTTGTGCCCATAGACTTGTCCTGCCTCAGCCTTTATCAAAGAACTTTCTTTTTACAATGAATTGTCATTAATGGAGAAACCATGGCTAGTTGAAATGCTGGGGAAAAGTAACTCAAACAGTGTTCCGGTTTAAATAGGACACCTGCATCAGCTCCTCCTCCCCAAGGACTGGGAATAATGCAGTAAAAATAACGGAAAGAACAGATGAGCCAATGTAAGAATGTAAGAAAATAGGGAATAGAGGCAGTAAAACATTGTCTTTATGAGCATGGCATGACCTTGGCACTAATGAGCTCACAGCAGTTGCAGCTGCCTTCATGGAGGCTTCACAAGATAGAGCCCATCAACATCCAGTCACAGATAGGGGAGGGGCTCATGTCAGTTAAAGGTTTCGGGGAGAAATGAAACCCCTGTCTTCAGCGATGTCACTGGTGAGTTACTCACTCTCCAGTGGAGAGCTCCATGCCCATGCCTAGGCAGACAGCCTTAGTTAAACATAGTGGATCATAGAGCAAACACACACACACATACACACACACACAAAAAAAAAAAAAAAAAAAAACCAACAAAATATGATGGGGACTGGGGAAGTCTCCATGGCAGTGGGAAGAAGATAATTGAAGGTAGAAGTGTGAGTGTAACCAGAATGACTCATATACATATATGAAATCAGCAAAGAGTAAATTAAATTTTAAACAGTATATGATATGTTTCATCAACTTATATCATATTGTATCATAGACCATCTTTATGATATGAAAATTGTTATAATTGCAATAGGTCTTCCTTGGCTTTAGCAATTTGCCAACGTTAACCGTGGACTCTGATCCAGCAGACTTGTTATACAACTTCCATGGCTCGTGCAGAGCTGTTTCAGGGTTGACTTTATGTTCAATATCCTCAAGCCTACTTCTCAAGTTACATAATGTCTCAAGTTGAATTCTCAGCTTGGGAAGATTTAGTTAGGAATATGGATCTGAAGTCAAACAGACTTAGATAAACACCGAGAGAGAGAGAGAGAGAGAGAGAGAGAGAGAGAGAGAGAGAGAGAGAGAGAGAGAGGATTATCTAACCCCATTTAGCCATGTCTGCAAAGAGATTACTAGATATGTTACAGTGGTCTCATAAGGACTGGAATAAAAATCCCATCCACCATTGGCATATTGTCTGATGAATGGCAAGCTTTTAATGGGTAGCACTACAAGCACCATTTATATTATTAACCTATGGATTGTTTCCTGCCACTCAAATTCTTCCTTCTTAAGGGGAGTCTCCCTAGTGAACATGTGTATTTTTGTAATAACCCAGAACACTAATACCTGCTTGCAGTTGACTCAGAAATTGATCAGCTTCTTCCTCTAAAATGTATTTTTATGTAAATACCTTTCCTAAAGGGGTGTGATTGGAAAATGTTCTTTCCTCTATTCCATATCTATAACATCCTAAAAAAACAAAACAACAAAAAAAAACTGAACTTAAAATTAACTTATTCCTTGTTCTAATTTTATTTTGATAAAGGAGTGTTAGGTGGCTTATCAGAAGTACATGGCTATTAAAACATCAGTACATGGTAATAACTATGAAAATTGCTTATCCTATTTCTAGGTAAGTATATAGGCATTTGAACCATGGGTTTATAACTTTGCCCATTCAAGATACTAGAAGTAAATGTTGAAGCCTTTGGAAGTGGGAAATTCTGGTAATCAAGAAGCGCTTCTTTTGGGGGGTGGTTGTTTTGTTTTGTTCTTCAACTCTAATAATTATTCTGTTCAACTTTAGCCTACAACAGGCTGCTGTTGACTCATCAGCACACACAGAAGCCAAGTCCTTTGCAAACTCCCATGTATGAAAATCACAGAGAACTGATTGCCATGGGGAGGCTCTGACCTCACTGCAAGGAGACTGTCTGCGCAGAGAATTTGCAGCTGTAAGAGGCTCCAAAGTGAGTTGGCACTGCTGGTCTTCTGACTACATCCTGAGATCAAGGGTCTAATCTTGAGATAATCAGAACTCAGGAAGTATGGCCTGGCTTTTCATTT